AGCGAAGGCACGCGACGTGCGCGATGTGTCTCGAGTATTTTGGTAACTTTGCAGGTATAAATCGTTGACCGACCGCGGTCAGATTAGCGCTAATCTGGGAGCAACAATATACCAAAAGAGTTCAGCACAACATTCTTTTGTCAGATGTTCTAAGAGACTGCAGTTTACTCAGATGTCGTTGCAGTGGACAAACTTACTGTAGTATATTCTAGTAATGAGGGTATGATTTTAGTTTGATGCTTGCGATTCGCAAGCTGCTGACCACCGAACCACCACCAGCAGTATGTGCTCGGGTTTTCCACAATCGCAGTGGTGTACCTCGTGTGGTTGACGATCGCGAAAAAGCTCGAGCTTTACCGGATGATGCTGGGTACGTCTACCGCTACCACCGTCCCGGAATCGATCCCCTACCAAGAATTCCTGGATGTCGAGTTCCGGTTCCAAGGCCGTCCTATCATGTTCGTGACGCATGGCGTGAATCACAAGCGCGATTCGGACAAAATGATTACATCGATCTGTTAGGCGATGGACAATTGCATCCAGCTCTTCTACAGTATCATACTCCGAAATGGCTGAGAGGATTCCCCGGACAGCATAGAGCGAATGAACTAGTGAAACTGATTCATTACCGGAATCTTTATTCTGAGAAATTGAAGCAAAATTCACCAAGACGATGGCATGAACTTTGTAAGAGGATCAAGTACTTGTTACAGCATCATAACTATGATAAACAAGATGAATTGTCGAGAGAACGAGATCTTGGACTTTGGGACGAAGAACCGGACTATTTCTACAAGGATAAATCTAGGCGGTCATATCAAGACCTTGTCTGAAGCTTGTGTCTTATGTGAATATGATTTTTATGAATGTTTGTTATAGTACTTTGAAATATTCGCTAGCTCAGAAAACTACCTACAATTCTTGAATCTTTTTTCCTCAGCCAGTGTTGGTCATCATAGCTCTTACTTGAGATACGATATAGCCAGTTGTTGATATTCGTTATCCATCCGAGTTTTTTTTTAATTGAACCATGGTAGATTGATTGTAATAAAGTGTAATCACGGTTGTAGCAGTAACTTA